GGGAAGACGGATGATGAAGAATATAAATAAGCCAAAAGGTAAAAGTCGAGCCAGACAGAAAGATCATACGCAGGTAGGAGTTTTCCACAGGACAGATAGAATCTGATCTCCAAGTCCTATAATTTCCGAGGCTATTTTGGGGAATGAGTCAGCACAATCAAGAAGGAAGATGCCTCTGATGTCTTGCTGTCAGCACTCACTGGCCCCAGAGATGCCAGCCCCCCGGAGCAGAGAGGCCCTTCTGGGGTACGGCCTGGCTGGAGCTCAGCAAGGGACCAAGCCGGCCAGAAACAAGAAGGCCGGTCGGTAGCAAGGTTTCCACTCCCACTTGCCTGCGAATGGCCACGTCGGCAACTTCTGAGGGTCACTTCGTTAATCTGCCCTCGGTTATGACAACAAAAAAGTGTTCTTTAAATGTTTCTGGAGTCCTTGAGTGTTTCAACTCCTGAGAATGTGGAAGTTAGCTCCCTGAAAATAGGAATCACCTCCTCATACATTAAGGATTTTTATAAGCCCCTGTTGAGCTTAGATGCCAGCCCAGAGCAGCTAAATATTAAAGAAGAATGTTAGAACCTTAACAACCAGAAGAACACGGAGGGTTGTCTATTCTGGTATTTCTCCAAATGTAATCCTCAGATTATCTGTTTCAGAATCAGCTGGCTGCCTCTTGAAAAAGCAGATTCCTAGGCCCACCCTAGGCCTACGGGAAGTGTAGGGTTTTAACAAACCCTATTTTAGTCTGTTATGCAGACTAAAGTTAGGAGAACCGCCAATGGGCACCCGATGGAGATAACACAGATGGGCTCAAATGCTAGATCTGCCATTTTAATGGCTGAAGGTCTTACACATCTTGTAATTGCTTTGAAAGCAGCTCCCGTATCTATACACTGGGTTTCGGGATACCTGCCCGGAGCTGCCTGTGTTTGCTCTTTGCTATCCACACTCAACGTTTTTTTAAGTTTATTTATCTATTTATCTTGAGAGAGACAGTATGAGCGGGGGAGGGGCCGAGAGGGGGGGCTCCCAAGGAGGCTTCATGCTGTCAGCGGAGAGCCTGACGCGGGGCTCGATCTCATGAACGTTGAGATCATGACCTGAGCCAAAACCAAGAGTTGGACACTCAACCAACTCAGCCACCCAGGCACCCCTACCCACACTCCACTTTTAATGACCTTCCGTCTTAGCACTGGGCACAGGCTTTAACGTTTCCACTTTAGACTGTGAGCTACTCAAATGCACGAACGACTCAGAGCCCAGCTGTGGCCCTCAACAAATTCTACTCCACCCCCACGGGAGGATACAGTCCATGAGCTGATCTTTTTCTTTTTAACATTTTATTTTCAAGTAATCTCCACGCCCAGCACAGGGCTCGAACCTACAACCCCGAGATCAAGAGTCTCACACTCCACCGACTGAGCCAGCCAGGCACCCCTGTGCTGTTCCTTTTTGTAGACATCCCCATGCCTTGGCCTCAGGATTTCCTTTTGGCATCCTGCTCTACCATAATAAACAATCTCATGGATTAAGGAATCATTTTCTTTGCAGGAGAAAGCCTTGGGACCTGGCTCACCCTCGTGCCCCAAGTATAATAAGTGCTGTCTAAAGAAAAGCCATCTTTGGCAGCCCTGTCTTTTGACTAAATGAGAGCTACCCAGTTGCAATCGTCACTTTTTGACCTCAGAAAAGGACTTCCAGTGGCTTTTGGCACTGGGGACTTGCCAGCATCTCATTTGAATGGTTTCCTGGTATATCTGAGAGAACTTGATGGGGTGGAAACGGTCACACTAGGCATCAGGCAGCAGGATCTGGTACCAAAATTGCTCCTGCTGTGTGTGACCTCAGACTAAGTCACACTCTTGTTGGGACTTGAATTTATACCAAATGAAGAGGTTTATAACTTCAGATGATAGATCGTCTCTGTATGTGTGTGCAAGCATTATTTAAAAATTCACCTTCCCATAGTTGTCAGGCTTCAGTGGGAGAATTCACATGAAAACACCTCCTACTGATGTAGGGCTACTCAAATCCTACCTCAGTTATCATCATTCATGACCATCACTGCTACTGAGGGTCATGGATGAAGTTAGTCCCACAAAAACAAGGTGTGTTTGGAACAGCGGAGGAGAGTTGGGGGCAATTCTGGAGGAGAACAGGGATCTGTGCCTGCCTAGGACCCTTCCAGGAAGGCGCTTCTAGGCTATGGCAAAGGAGGGTTTCTGGGAAGGCGGGGGGCGGGCACAGCACCGACAGCTCAGCTAGTGGGGAGCTACATCTAGCAAGATCTGGGCTTCCGGAACATGATGCTCAAGGATGACAGAGGCTGGGAAAAGCAGGGGCTCTGCTTCCAGAAGTCCTACATTTTGAAGCCTTCTAGGATCAGAAGACACACTGTGTTCCCATTGTTTTCACCCATCCCCATGTCTCTGCAACATTCCTTCTTCATGAAATGCCTTTCCTTCTCTTTCATAACTCATAAAAAAATGTCCACTCATCAAGGTCCCATCTCCTCTAGGAATTCTTTCTAGCCTTCCAACACCCTCAGAATGAACTAACTATCCCCTCTCTTGTGCCCCCCATTGTCCCCACTACATCAGTGTTTTTCAAACCTCATGTCACAAGTCCTGAGAAAGTTACAAAATCCATTTACTGGGTGGTCACTACCAGCATTTGGTTTTGTTTTTTTTTTTTTTTGGATACACTATCAGCATTTTTAAAGGTTGAATGAAAAATATTAGACTGTATCACACACAGTAAGGGTAAGTCTTATTTTGGGAAATTTTCCAGTTATGTGTGAGTGCTTCTATTGGGTTATAATGGAAAACATACTTCTTTTACAGTTTATTTATTTATTGAGAGAGAGAGAGAATGAGAAAGAATATTCCAAGCAGACTCAGTGCTGCTTGCACAGAGTCCAATGAGGGCTCTATCTCACGAACCATGAGATCATGACCTGAGCCGAAATCCAGGGTCAGAAGCCTAACCAAGCAAGCCACGCAGGCACCCTGGAAAATGTATTTATTATTACGGATCGTGGTCAAGTCTGGGGAAGCTCCTGCATTAAAACTCTTCAAGGGCCAACTCTTTTTAGCTCCAAATCTTTAAAACAAAGTATAGTACTTCCTCCATGATACACATTCAATTGATGTGTTGCATGTGGCAAGCACAAGCATCTTTTATTCATCGATTCCACAATCCAAAGAGAGTGGGATGTTATTATCATCCCCACACCCCACTATGGGGAAAGGTGGCTGAGAAGAAGTGACATGCCCATATGCCTCATTAGCAGGTGGCTAGTGGGATTCCCTTTGGAGTCTCTGACTCATCACTCATTCATCTCAGCAGTGGAATGAGAAACGAGATTTTCGAAGGACACTGAAGATGGTGGAGGATCCAGTCATCATCTGTTGGGGCCACAGTTTGTCTCCAGACCTTGCTCCCTTCTCTTTCCCACATCACGGTCCTGACACCCCTACCCTCCTCAGAGTGGGGGCCCTGAGGAGGCAAGGTCAGCCCCAGGGCCTACTGGGCAAAGAGCTAGACTTCTGCATGGCCAGAAAAGACTTGCAAGGTCATTTCATCCATATTCCTGTGCCCAGACAACAGTGCGATCAATCTAATGGGAATAGATGGGAATCTTCCATTAGAGAAGGAAGAGATCTCACAAATTCATGGCATAGACCAAGCATGTTTGGAGTTCACGGTTTTAGTCCTATGAGAGAGAATTGTGAGCCAGGATCTGGTCCCAACTCTGCCACTGTGTGTCCTTGGGTGTGCCACACCCTCTCTGCATCCATTTCCTCTCAAGGGGGTGTCATCACCAAGTTCTTAACACTTGTGTTCTTGCTGGTCTATTCTCCCAAGGTCACCGCACTGGGGCAGAGACAAAGAACGCCCTCTCCCTTCCCTACATCCTGGAGGAAGACAGCAGCACACAAAAGAGCGACTGCTAGCTGAGCTACACCCCCGGGGAAGAGGAAAACCAGGAAAGACTCTGCCGTGTGTTTATGACATTCGAAAACAGCTGCTTCCTCTGCTGCACCCACAGCAATGGCGGCCTGGCCCTGCCCTGACCCCTCCCAGGGCCCCATCGTTTGCCATCTGCTGGAGGGTCAGGGAAGAGGTGACCAGATAGGCAAGTTGTCACCAGACAGGAAATGAACTGATGTTTGTCGCCTCGTCGGAGTCCCTGGGTTACTCTAGGGGTGAGTCCAGCTGTAGGGCTCATATCTTGGTAGGGCTGACTGTGTGTGTGTGTGTGTGTGTGTGTGTGTGTGTGTGTGTGTGTGTAGGCAGGAAGGGCACTGCGAAGGTCAGTATGTGGCTGTGTTTGCATTGGCTTGCCTGACTGTGTGTTTCTGTGGTTCTGATCGGAAAAAGGATGGATGTCTATGTGTCTGGGTACTGCTGGGTCTGTCCATGCGCCTCTGGGTCTCTCTACCCCCAGCCACACGTGTAAAGACCTACATCAGTGCGCAGGCCTATCTGACCCCGTGTGCCCATGTCTTCGTGTTCAGTCCGTGATGCCACATAGGTTCAACTAGCGAGCAGTGGGGTAGGAAATCGGATCTGCTCTTGCTTGACACGTGGTTTCTGTCTAGACACATGTGCTTGCTGTGCAGGACTTACTCTCAGAAGACCTGAGTAAAAGTGCTAAGCTGTCACAGCCTGTTGCCCAAGGCTCTGCAGTGACTCAGCCAACATTCTAGGGTGATGCAAGGCACCCACTGGGACTTAAAAACAAGTCCCAGCCCCCCAAAAGAGGCCATCTTCGTGGGCACTGCAGGAAGACGGTTCCATCCGAGAAGGCAGGTAGTTTACTCGCTACAAAGTCGGCCGTGCCTCTCAATCTCTGTGGGAGAAGGTCCCAGAGCTATCACGCCTCCAAGGTCCATTCACAGGATGAGAAAACTAGGCTCAGAGGGGAAGTGTCTCGCCTGAGGTTACAAGTTCACTCGTCACACGCCCTCTTTAACCAAGGCTAATCAAGCACCCCTTGTGCCAGCCACTGTATAAGGCCTGAGGATGACAAAGAGCTGGAAGGTGAAGCCACAGGATTCTGCTAAGGCACTGGCAGCCTGGTTCGGGAGACAGACATTTGAGCAGGCAACTTCAACAAAGCCAGGCTGAAGGCCACAGCAGGAAAACCATGAAAAGGGCCACGGGAACAGGAGGAGAAAGTTAGACAATTCTGTCTTCGAGGAAGATGGCGGGAAACGTGTGATAGACTAAACAACGGTGCCCCAAAGATGTCTGTGTCCTAATCCCTACAACCTGCTAATATGTTACCCTCCATGGCCAAACAGACTTTGCAGGTGGGATGAAGTTGAAGACCTGGAGATGGGGAGATTTCCCTGGATCACCGGGCGGACTCCATGGAATCTCCCGAGCCCTCCTAAGAGGGAGGCAAGAGAGTCAGAATCACAGGGGGAGATGCAGTGACAGAAGCAGAGGCCAGAGAGAAGGAAAGAAAGACCTGGAGGGGGAGGAAGGGGCCATGGGCTAAAGAACGCAGGCAGCTTCCAGAAGGAACGCAGCCCGCCAACACCTTGATCTCAGCCCAGTGAGACCTATTTTGTAATTCCAAACTCGAGAACTGCCAGAAAATAAATCTGTGTGGTCTGTGCTGTTCCGCCTCGGGTTAACTCTGGTTGGCCTTCAGCCCCAGTGACCATCCTTCCTTGCCAAGTGCAGAGGGCAAAGCTTTCAAGTCAGGGAGCACCTAGGAGCAGCCATCGACCATGGGTAAAGGATCTGGAATGGTGCCAGCACAGAGTAGGGGCTCAGTAAATGCTCGTACCCACTTCCTCTCCTCAGCTACAGTCAGCCAGAGTCAAACAGGACAAAAGTCAGACCTCTCATTTCCCTTGTTGAAAATAAACCCCGGTCCTCCCAGATACTGTCTCATTGTGCATGGAGAGTGCTATAGGATATGAAAGAGGCAGGCTACAAAGCATCTCTGCACCTTTTTAAACTGGGGGTGCAGGAGACCCTAACTAGGACAGCAGCACGCGGAAGAAAACACAGCAGCAGGCCGGTGGGCCGGGCGCCTGCCAAGAGCACGGCTCAGAAGGCCACAGTCGACAAAGGGTTACCCCCTCGAGCAAACGCCCGTCCCCTGCTGTCACTTCACATTAAAGCATCAGAGACTGAGCTGGCCGGTGACCGATGCTCTCATTTAACGGTTTGCTCCCCCAATTTCTCTCCCTTCTGACCTTGACTGAAAAAAAAAAAAAAAAAAAAAAA